CACGGCTATCGTGGATTCGCCCCCAACTCTCTCAGTACGCTTCCTGGTTTCCGGTCCGCGAAAATTCGTTTCGTTACAACTATCGCAACAAAAACATTTAATTTCATAAGAAGTTTGGTATGAAGATGTCACACATGTCTTATTATTATTAAATAGTCTGACCACCAAACACCTTTGTGGCAGCACTGTTTTTCTAATTTTTTGTTTTTTTTTTTTTTGGTAAAGAAACAGTAATTGCAGTGGCGGCTCGTCATATGAGGCAAGTGAGGCGGCGCCTCACAGCATATATCTTAAGAACAGATTGACTTAATTTATAATTAAAAAAGAGCTTTCAATGCATTTTTAGTTACAAAAATATGTTGAAATGGTAAATCTGTAGATTATTTTTTATTTTTTACACTTTCTGCGGACATTTTCCGTTGAATACTGTACGATTTATGCCCCGAATTCTTTAACTGAAGCGGCCAGACCGTCGGTTCACTTGCGCCAATGAAGCCCAATCACAGACACGGATTTCCATGACTCAGCTGCTATACTCCTATACATGAATTCGCTCGGAACTGAGGCGATATCTTCGATGCTTCTCGGCCAATTTCGGCGGACCCATTAAATCATTTTCCCATTTATTTTACAGAATGGAAGGGGTGCAGGGTGCGTGGGTAATTAGCATAAACGTGAATAAAAGTCCAGGAGCTGGTGTTTCGTGTTTTTGTCTCTTTCATAGGTACAGGGTACAGGTGAGTGAAAAATGAATCCCGAGTACGATATTGTCATGTTGCTTCTTGAAACGCCGTTTTCACGACGAACCGAGTTAGAACGTCGGTAAATTTTGCTAAATATCGAACAGTCAAAACCGTTAACTTCCATTGATAAGCGACTATGTCATCAGTACTACAGGTCTTTTAAACCAGCCTGGTACGAACCATAAACGGCTCTGCCGTAGCCGTAATATTTATGCTGAAAGTCTATATTGTTGGCCGTGTCTACTCTTAGGCAATGTAAAAAACACATGGACGACGTCTCCGGGATATAACGATTTAAAGAATTTCATTCGAAGTGCAAAGTTACATAAAAGTTCCAAAGTACACATTAAAAATTTCATGGGCTTAAAAGATTTAGAAAGGAACACAACTAATGCCGAATCCCTCCAAGAAAGTGCTAGTTTAAACAAAATTTTGACTTGTAAAACATTGTTGATTAAATGTGTTATGGGTGTTAATATTATTATTATTATTACTATTATTAGGACCCACTACTGACTGGGAAATGAACGGTATTCAAGCAAGACTTCTATCATTACTAACTACTAAGACCAAGCAATATGCATTAATCACATTAATTTAATTAATTTTATTATTGATAATATTATTGTCAAACTTCTATCATCGCCTCACCACATCAGACAGTCACGAGCCGCCACTGAGTAATTGACTCTACAATGGACATGTTTTTGAATTGTGAAGTTTATTCCGTCTTTGAAAATAGAACTGTCACAAAGTTACAAAATAAAGGATGTGGATTCTAATACAAAAATACAAAATACTGTCACTATTGTAACAAAGATATTTAATTTCAGAAGAAGTTTGTTACCAGGGAGATGCCGACACATGTCTTATTATTATTAAATAGTCTGACCTCCAAACAATGTTTTTCCGATTTTTATACGTTTTTAATCTCTTGACTGAAATCACTTACAGTCTCAGTCTCTAATATGGTAGTTTATTCCCTTGATACATAAATAACTATTATATTAATGGCGCATACTTGACGATTTATCTGTGATTGAAGTTAAGCTAGAAGCCATGTTATGTTATAAAATATCACTTCAGGTATTAATGCTTATGCTTTATAAATTTAAATACATGTAGTAGTTTGTAATTTTAACATTTTTGTTAAACATATATTTTCCTATATAAAATTAAAATTATTGAAATATGTGTAAAAATGAACGTAAAGGTATAACTCATACTTGTACAGAGAATTGCATGCGGAATTTCTTTGTAAATATGTAGGTATTTTCATTTTTATTATTACATTACACATAGTGTAGTTCCTACATTTATGCAACCGAGATGTTACTTTTGTTGTTGTTTTCAATTATAGTTACTATAGTATTTTAATATTGTTTTGTTTGAATCTTCAGATTGTTTGTGTTTTTAATAAGTAATATCTGGTTGACCGAGTTTCACTCGGCTCGTTTGGTAGTATTAGATCAGATTAGGACAGATAAATATGCGTATAGTATGCATTTTGAAGTACACGCGCTACTTACAAATACACATTAAAAAAGAAATTCCATAAGCAGTCTTTGTTTTAAACACTGATAAGTGACATGTAGAGATTAAAGAACAGAAAACTGGAATTATTGTTTGACATCTCATTTGTTACCCAAGTTTTCTCTATGTCGTTTTTTTTTCCTAGTTCTCTCTCTCGACTCTAGAAAAAGGTCACAACCACATTCTTACTGCCAGAAGAGTTTCGCCTCTGGTGTGGTTAACATACTGAGTTACCGTGCTCTTTTGTGTTATTCCTAATTTCTCAATCTCAACCGTGCTCCCGAAGATGCCATTTACGAAAGTGTGCGAAACGTTGAGCCCAAAAACTCAAATAACACGGTCCCATCCCCGAAAACGATCACATGTTGACACTGACCGTGGAACCTCTGAAATGAATGCTTGACAAAATAATCTCAATTCAACACACTTTCGTGTGCCTTTTATCCGCTCACTGTTTAGTTTTTGGTAAATTTTCTCACCTCAGGAGGTGAATTTCAACGTCCTCTATACAGTGGAGTATGTTTCGGTACGTACAATTGAAGATAAAAAGGTACGTCAAACGTACTGTCAGACTGTCACCCAAACTTCTCATATAAAACAATCTCGTGTTCGTGTAGTGTCATCTGATGTTGCCTAGCAACAAATATAATTCACTGCCTGAAAATTGCTGAAAATGCATGAAGCTGTAATTTTCAGAAGTTAAAACTATGATCAATCGATTTCTTAACCCAAAAAACCCCTAACCTGTAAATTTCATCGAAATCGTTAGAGCCGTTTTCGAGAAACCCATTACATATATATATATATATATATAAATATATATACAGGGTGCCGCATCCAAGTCTGGATATAGGGAATTAACATGCGAATTGGTTTTTATTTTATAATATCTCCCCAGATCACTTTAAAGCTATTATTGAGTGATGGCTTTGTGGAAGTCGAAGTGGGCTATCGGCCAGTATTTTTTTCAAATCGTTGCATCGCGCTCATTCACTGTAAAAAGGTTTTAAAAATCGTATTTTGAAATTCGCGCCCGATCCGAATTGTCGCGAAGTGTTCCGTCGTACTGTCGAAGTTCGGCGATCGCGTATTTTCATTATCCATGCAAAATTCAAATGTCAAAGTGAAATTAGAAATTATTCTCATCAGAAATCAACGAACAAGTCAAACTGAATTATTTTATCCAGTGTGATGATTATTGTAGGACAAATTAAACGGAATAAATGCACAAATTGATCCATTCATTCGTCATAGTGCGCGACCCCGTCAAACGAGCCATCTCGAACTACAATCAGACCGTATCCAAAAAGCCCAAGATGAAGACTTCAAGACTTCGAGCAGCTGGTCTTCCTCAAAACCCCATCAAAGCCCATCGGAAGCATTGCGACATTTTCTGGGAGCCCTCAACCTAGGAATGTACTCGGGCTGCCTCACTCAGTAATCACTGAACGACTCAAATTGAATTATTTTATCCAATATGACGATTATTGTAGGTCAATTTAAACGAAATAAATGCACAAACTGCACAAAATATTTTTATTAGGTTATGTTGCTGGTGCTGATCGAGTCTTTATTACTAAAATCTCATTAAAATGCCATGTTCTACTGCGATTAGATGAAAAAGCGAGGGCCCGCTTTTCTTATTGTGTGATGATAAGATTTACCATCAAAATAGCTGGCGCTTTTGAAGAGGACCTTTTAATGAACCATTTAGATAACTACAAATAACAAAACTTAACAATTGTTGATGAATGAAGTAATGAAATATTGTACGAATCTGGAGAAGTATTGCACTATTTTCAAGAATTGCTCAAAAAGACTGCTCTCAGCAGCTGTACAGTAAGTAAGCCAATCTTCAAAACTCCTACGCGTGTTGATCAGCATTTTAGTTGAAATCTGAAGACAATATTGCTGGATTGCTTGTTTCAGCGCTTCTCTGTTTGTATAGCTTGTCTGAATGCAGATGGTCGTGAAGAAATCTCCAAAGAAAAAATTCTCAGGGGTTTATATCCGGCGATTGCACAGGCCAATGGGGCGGTGCAAACTTTCCATTCCAACATTGCGGAAAAATACTGGTTCAAATAAACAACATTTATGCGAACTGTATGGCTGGAGATTTGGTCCTGGATGTAAAAGACCTGCCGCAGATGCCGCACCCTTCGAGTCCCAGGAAGTATTTGCTGAGCTAGCATATTATCCTACTTCTGAGCATTCAATCCGGATTCGATGAAAAAAGGTGCAATGACATGATGTCCTAGAAGCCCCAGTCATACACTGACAATTGCACGCCATTGATAACGAAGGTCATGGACCACGTGAGGGTTGTGTAATGCTCAAATTTGATCGTTCTGACGATTATAACTTCCCTTAAGACCAAATGAACGTCAGTAAAACAAATTTTCCTCAAAAACTCTCCATCAGCCTAGATTCTCTCAAGCGTTCCTTCGTAAAACTCTATATGTGAGAAGTAGTCCCCAGGCTTCAATTTTTTGTCATGATGCTTTTTGAAATTCTTCTATCTCATCTGTTTAAGACCCCTAGAAAACGTCGTGCCCACCTGATTTTATGTAATTTTTATCACCTTTGAAAATAAATGTAACTTTATTTTGCGAAATATTATTTTTATTTTTGTTGTTGTGAACACAATAAACAAATAAAACAGTAATACAAAAGTTTCTGAATCTCAAAACACATTCGTAATAGAGAAAAATACTTTCAAATGTTGATGAGTCAATGTTCTACATTTCTCTCTCAAAAATTTCCTGTAATGAAGATGCTTCCTGGAGGCAAAAAATCCATCCCTGCTTAACGAATGTAAAATCAATTGACTTCCAATCTTTAGTGATTCCAAAAAAAAGGGTGAAATTTATCCAAATTACCTACTAATTAAATTAACTGTTGAAGAACATGCAGGCCCCCGCTTTTTCATCTAATCGCAGTAGAACATAGCATAACCTAATAAAATATTTTGTGCAGTTTGTGCATTTATTCCGTTTAAATTGACCTACAATAATCGTCATATTGGATAAAATAATTCAATTTGAGTCGTTCAGTGATTACTGAGTGAAGCAGCCCGAGTACATTCCTAGCTTGAGGGCTCCCAGAAAATGTCGCAATGCTGCCGATGGGCTTTGATGGGGTTTTGAGGAAGACCAGCTGCTCGAAGTATTGAAGTCTTCATCTTGGGCTTTTTGGATACGGTCTGATTGTAGTTCGAGATGGCTCGTTTGACGGGGTCGCGCACTATGACGAATGAATGGATCAATTTGTGCATTTATTCCGTTTAATTTATCCTACAATAATCATCACACTGGATAAAATAATTCAGTTTGACTTGTTCGTTGATTTCTGATGAGAATAATTTCTAATTTCACTTTGACATTTGAATTTTGCATGGATAATGAAAATACGCGATCGCCGAACTTCGACAGTACGACGGAACACTTCGCGACAATTCGGATCGGGCGCGAATTTCAAAATACGATTTTTAAAACCTTTTTACAGTGAATAAGCGCGATGCAACGATTTGAAAAAAATACTGGCCGATAGCCCTCTTCGACCTCCACAAAGCCATCACTCAATAATAGCTTTAAAGTGATCTGGGGAGATATTATAAAATAAAAACCAATTCGCATGTTAATTCCCTATATCCAGACTTGGATGCGGCACCCTGTATACAAACTTTGCTCGTTTAATAGTATTAGATTATGTATTCAACATGTGCTTATACATATTTATATACACTGCCCCGCAAAATTAACGCAAAATTTTAAGATTTTATTTTGCACAAGTGGAAATCGTACGTATGAACTGGCCTGCACGAAGTCTGGACATTTATGGGACATAGTGCGAAAAAGAATGAAAGCATTACAGCACCCTCCTACTATCCTCCCAGAGCTAACACTTAGATTGACGCAAGAGTGGCAAGAAATTGATCAAGAAGAAGTTAGAAATTTGATTAACAGCATCCGAGCTGTTATCAATGCTCGAGGAGGCAATATACGTTATTAAGTCTTAACTGACCGACGTTTATAGCAATATCAAATAAGATGTTATTTTTTGGTTTTTTGCAATTTCGTTCCAAATCATTATTAGTTTGTTACGAAGTAGGGACCAAAGTGGAAAAAATAATAAGATTATCTAAAAAAATTAAATTTTAAAATTTTGGGTTAATTTTGCTGGCCAGTGTATAATAGTATATTATTAACTAAGGTTGTGAAGACAGACATTCTAGACCGAGCGCAAATTAGAACCTGAGACGCGCAGCGTCGAGGGCTCTAAAGCGCGAGGTCTAGAATTGGCTTCACAAACGTGGTTAATATACTATTTTTTCCACTAGTAGCCCATTTGAGGTTTGCGAATTTTCAAAATGTTTTTTCTGAAGTGCATCAATAAAAACATGTACTCACGTCATTTTAGTAAGCTTTGCAATTTTATTATTTTTTGACAATCCAGAAATGGTCCAGAACTTTTGTTTTAATTTCCTCCATATTTCCCGTTTTTAATAAATTTTTGTGTGAAAAATGTTGTAAAGTGAACCATCAAGTACCCCTCCTCATTCCGTCGTACTTACGCGACCGCGACAAATTTGGCTGAAAAAGATATGGACCTCGTGTCGTTAAAGCGACACGGGGAATGGAAATCCTCCAGCGTAGCAGAAGGATACAACGACGGCTCGATCTTCTATAAAAAAAAATCGCCGAAATAGTCCAAAGCTCATCTACGACAAAGTGACGACAAATCAAGTCAAACCAAATCGGAACCATGAGTCAGTTTCACTCCCGCAAACTTCATTTTCACTCCCATCAACTTCATCAATTTAGTTTCACCAATTTATCCTCAATTACACCGAGAATAATCAATTCAGGGTTTGGAAATCATTCCAGGGCATAATTTAAAAGCAAATTTTTCAAAATGATAGTTTTCAGGTTATGTCTCATTTTTTCTGACAGTTGTTGACAGTTGTCACATTCGGTGGCCAACTTCACGTTTACATTATTGACCAAGGTTCACAATTTTCCAAATTACAGACCTCTAGACAAGTCGACAATTAGCCATTGTAATGCTACTAGTGGAAAAAGGATTATTTGAAAACATAAATAAAGCATGTGCTTCAAACAGATCAAGGGTATTATTATTTTCCACAAACCAGCCAAACAGAAAAAGTTTGGCTGCGTGGCTTACCCAGAACAGTTTCCGGTTAGAAAAGTATCAACGGATACGATTTTCAATCAAAGACTTGGAAACTTAAGAAAAATTTGGCTACCTCTTAAAAGTTTGAAAAAGAACAAATACGGACAGGAGCGATAAATGAAGCACCGGTTTTGGAATTATTGTGAGTCAAAGGGGTTCAGGTCAGTTCAGGATTGCAGGTATAGTATACACGGCTTGCACGTATTCAGTCTGGATAGTGTTTGGTTGGTAATGTGATTTAAAATTTTGCACACAAAACTCATATTGCAACCCAATTAGTAATTTGACTGAGGTTATGTTGGTTAGTACTACCCTGTGCTACTCTCGGCGTTGCTCACAAAACACTCCCATACGGCCTGATTAATTTATTAGTGGAAGAATTAATTGGCTGGGACGGTACTTTGGAAAAATAAATAAAGATAGCGTAACGAGTCATGAGTATTTAGGAAATTGAAAATAAGTGACCTTACAAATTAAACTACATAGAAACCAGTTTACACATTATAATGAACAAATACAGAAAATCGGCGGTCTGCTTTTTCATGTAACATTGATATTACGCTAGAAAAACTTTAAACCAAACAAATTTCAGTCCTATCATGTCATTAGTCCGACAAACTGCAACCCACAGGTCATAACATAAAAATTTTATTCACCACATTTACGATTTGGTTTTTTTCGGATGAAGCAAAATTTTCAAATAATAGTGGAGTTAACAACCATAACAGCCAAGAAAACCCACTCTGGATTAGAAAAGAACATTTTCAAACAATTTACTTTCACGAACGTTAGATGCAAGCCGCGCGACCCTCGAGAACCAAATTATTGGTCTTTACTTTCTTTGACACAATTTGAACGGGAATTTTTATTTAAATTAAAGGTAAGACTTGTAATTTAATACTTATATGTTTTTGTTTCCATTCTTACCACATGGTTAAGTGGTAAAAATTACCACCTAGTACAGTCGGTGACGTACAGATATCATATGCGACACGCGCTGGTGATTGAATTATGTATATTTTTTAAATATCTACTTATATGTACTACTACTCTATAAGGTTATAATTTGCTACATGTGAATAGGCAGAATTTAAGTATATGGTTATGGTAATGTTGCAACCTTTGTTACATACATAGATAGAACCTGTCCTCTGCCTTGGTGTAAATGTTATCATCATTATCGTCATTATTAATGCGGCCTGCTAACTAGTTGTAGCCCGACCATGCGTAAAAGATTTCCCACAGATTAAAGATGTTATATTGGTTTTGCCGCTCCTCGTACTGATGTAGAAACATATTATTTGGTAACCCTATAACCCCGTTGGAGGAAGTAAATATTGTAACCCACTGGACAATTCCCTGAGCTTCATTTTATTTCTTACTGTATTAGTCGATCACTTATCTTCACCTAGGACCATTCGTTTTGTATAAATAATTTCCCATCGTATGCAAATTATTATCAGTTAGTTACTAAGGTTAATAGGCATATATTATGATTTTTCCATGTATTCAAAACTATGGTGTAAGATATCTGGATTTCAACCTAGAGTGATTTTCATAGGTGTATGAATAAAAAAAAGTATCAAATTAATGTGCCAAGTAAACTACGAATGCCGATATTAAATTTTACATTCTTATTATAGCGTGACCCCAGTGATGCAAACAACAATTGCCGTTATAACGATACAAAACTTTCTCCATCCATACATTTACAATTTTTTTTGCAGGAAAATACAGGGTAAACATAAGTTACGCATGTTCAATTCATTTGTCGTATTCTCATTACTAAGTTATTTATCAGATACTCTTATTAGGATAATGCACAAACAAATAGGTACCGAGGTAATCATCGTGAAGATACTTATATCTCCGTTTTTTTTCTTGTATAAATCTAACAAAAAGCTTGGACGGAATGGCAATTGTTACCTGTTTTATAATAATTATTATTACTTTTCAAAACTGCAGACGGTACTGCTCTCATGTTATTATATTTCTTGATTTGATATCCTTTTTTTGTACTAAAGTTCTTGTCTCTTAATTCGTTCATAATCGGAAGTTATCGTACCTTATCTATTACTATAGCAATGCTATTGCAGACTTATTATTTCATAAAAGTTGACGACATAAAGAATTATTTTATTTAAAGTGAAATTATCATCAGTGTTTGTAGTTATAAGAACATGCGTCTACAAAATTATCGTTTTCTATTCATATTTGTTTATGATAATATAGACTTGGTTTCCTTGTCTTGTAATATTTATTCAATGTTAATTTGCACATATATTTTTTTAACTGTGTCCACGGCCTCATCAGTATTCTGTTCTTCAGCAGCTCAGGAATATTTGCTACCATTGGAAAACTGCATTTTGGTGTGTCATTATCAGTTTTTTTCTCCGATACAACAAAATTCTGTGTCAATATCGTCAGTTTCTAAAGAAGCTTCTAAAGGGTCACCGTAAATATACACTAGTAATGAAAATTCCTCAAAAATTTCCGAGCTCTACGCCTCTGTTGAGTACTCTCGAACCACTTCTGATATCTGTAGAAAATTCCTAACAATCTTTAACGTATTCGAAGTATCCTTTTATCGTTTTGTATTTGTTTCAGGGATATACCTATCTGCTGCAATACAACCTACATACTTAAGTTCGGCCCCCTTAAGGTCACAGCTTACTGTTTAATGGGTTATCCAGACAAAATTGTTAAATAACAAAAATTTGATATATATATTATTTGGTGCAGTTTTATTTACGTTCCTGGTAGACTAAAGTTCGATAACATACTTGAATTTTGAATCATGTCATCATTGGAATGTACTTAGTACTTTGCTAGACCAAAAATGTTTTCAATTTGGACTGATTCGACCGAAATGAATAATCAAGATTTTGATTTAGGTTAAAAGGTTTATTGTCTACGTATTTACAAGGATTTGATGCAATATTAAACTTATTCTTTGATTGGGTGGTTGATTTCTCTAAGATTTCCCGCAGAATGCCGTCCAGATATTTTGGCATTTTGTTAGCTTTTTAAAGGACACATTAGCACGAACATGAATATGATTTCTGAATTAACATGGCTCATTGACAAATCTTATTGCTCTTACTGCTACACTTGTCAAGAAAACGTTAAGGACAATTTCTAAAATTCATAGGCCAGAATTCTAAGTCAAAAAGGTTACATATTTTTGATTTAATCAATAAAATAAATTATTTCATTAATTATTTTAAAACATCCTGCAGAAATCATAAAAAAAATAAAATGCACTACGAAAAAGTAAACACCCTTTGTTATTATTAATAGTAAAAAAAACCGGTAGGAATCAATATATCTTCGAAGTTAAAGTATAATTTAAATTAAATTATTTGCATGTTAGGAGTTGAACCAGTTAAAATCATACAGGTTTTGGCGACATCGTAAGGAAGGGGTTATTCACATTCTAACCACCCTTGTGATCAATAAGTTTGTTAGAATCAGCTGCTTTCAACGAACTCGACCTTTTATGTGTGATTTTGGTTAGAGAAATTTATTTATTACTATGTGAGATTTTATTTAACGTAAGTTTCACATCTTACTAATTTTATAGAATTATTAATCTTATTACTTGGAGAAAATAAGCATGGGCGGTTAATGCCTACTACTGAATTACACAGTAGGTACTGTAGAGGGGACCCCGAGTTTGATGAAATTGTAGGTATGTTTTATTTCGCCGCACATTGAATTATATTTAGAAAGGTAGACAACGCAGTGTTAGCTAGTTGGTGAAGTGGCCACTTCTTATCAAGTTAAATATGACGACAAGAGGAAGTTTGTAATAACATTAATACACAACAATAATTTATCCACAAGCTGTCGAAACTGGGAAGGTATGTAAAGGTTTTTGTTATTAATCTTATGGTTATTTTCTTTGTTTTCTCAAAGCATGTAATTTATTAAGTGGTGCCTAATTAAAATACCCTGATTTGTTTAAATACATAGTTTATTTGTATATTTAATAGTTAGCACTGTCGTTGATCAGTTGTAAGAAAATGTTGGTACATACAATTAGGATTTTATTGATCATATCCTCCGCTGTTTACAGTTATGGTTGTGTTTTTATTTTTAAAATATTTTGCAAATGCTGTTCATAAAAATGTCACTGTTAATTCTGTGATTATTTGTAGTTTTATCCGTTTAAATGTTAGTGTACAGTTGATACTAGATAATCGCACTGCCACTAGATAAATCGTTGCAATTTATAGAACAACAGCGATAATTTTCAAGTTCAAACCCCCCACGCTGGGTTCAGTCACCCTTAGTTGTAAAAATTTAAGTACGTTACATGGTGTAAACATTTTGCAAATGTTTCTTGATTTAAAATAAAAATCTTCTCCAAGTAGGTAACGAACATAGAGTGACGATTTGTTACACATAGTGTTTACTTTATTCGAAGTTATTTTTCATTGTGCTCATTTAACTATTCCATCTATTATGTTTGTCACACAATCAAAATTGCCTCAATTATGGAATAACGTAAATTAAAAAAAATATATGAATTTATTACTGAATGCCAGTGTTCACCTTGAATTGTATTACTGATTAGGTTTTTATTGCATGTTTTAAACCTGAACCACCACAAATATGCGAAAATTTAGATATTAGGATTATGCGTCCATTATGCGTAGTCTATACGACAGGAAATGAGATATTAATCCAAGAACAGTATTACGTTCGTGAACACAAAAATCATTTGTATTCATCACGATTTTGTCAGTGTTACGTGGTCAATGACAACCTTGTAATAAACAATACAAAAAAATATATATGTATAATTTCAATTTTTTTTGCCGTGTGCGTTATAGTTTTAAATCTTAAAATATGAAGCGAAGTGGCGCAAATCTGATCACTGATCAGTAAGATGCCAGATTCATTGTGCTGTATTTAAAAATAAAGATTTGTTTACTTACCTACTGTCTTAGCCTGAACTTAGAAGTCATCATCTACGCTGGAATATTCTAGCATATTATGCAACTTTTTGTTAAACATTCTGTTAACATTTAACATACTTACTTCTTGGGATTACCAGTGATCTTTTCGTTAATCGGCAAGTAAGATTTTCTAGTCTGAAAAACATCAAAGCAGGTTTTACACGGCAATACAAGATAATCATTTTAGAGAACACTGAAAATGACTCTCATAATACGGTTCTCAAAATGCGTTTATCTCATTTTAACTATTACTATTATTACATGTATCCTAATACAAAAAAGGACTTTAGTTTTGTAGAAAGGCGTCTATTTTTTGTGTTGTCTAACATGATTACATGTTGTTGGTTTCAATTCTCTACATAATATTTTAGCATAAATGTGTTGATCGTGTCTGCGTGTATTTTACATAAATGTTGCAAATCTTTTTATTATGCATGTATAGAAACATCCACTGAGTTTAGCAATTTTTCGTTTCAGTTTTAATAAAACTTTATGTCAGTGATAGGCCCAATATTATTATTTTTCAATCATTTTGACTGTACTTCGCACAGTTTTAGCACTATATTATTTACTCTTTTTAGAATGTTTTGTTCGCCAGCTTTACTGTTTTTTCAAGTACGCTGAAAGTGTACACTTGGACATAAGTAATGTAGAAAAGTTGTTAAAAAAACCCATTTAAAATCTATTCGATTTACATACAAATTTTGAGCCGACACACTGAACTATTTTGCCTAAAAAATTCAACTGTGTAATCACAGCTGTATATAGTTTGCAAACAAAGTAAATTTTGATAGGTATATATTGTATATCTACTTGTAATATCTATAAATATGATACCCATTTTTTGTTGAAGCAATGATCTACCTGGCGTTTAAAATGATGAACAGTTTAAAATAAAAAACATAACGATATCAGATAAATTTATTTTTAATTATTAAATTTTCTTAGTCGTCAACAATATTACCAGTGGGTAGACAAAGGTTCGGAAAAAAATCGCAGTAGAGTTATTTTTAAAATTGAATCTTAATATACAGAGTGTTTGTAAAAAATTCTAAAATATTACAATTTTCAAATATTCAGTTTTACGTTGATTGATACCACAAAAAAGCGCGTATCTCTGTTTATCTCTTCGTAAAATATTATACCACACAGATTATAAAAATAACCCTATTGTGAATTTTTTTGAATCAGGAAAATTGGAACAACGTGATAGCGTCGCATCGCAATTTCAAAAGTAAACTATGATTATAAAACCTATAACGAGGTTAATCAGAGTATATACCATTTACAAAGAAACTAGTTGTATGTTACATCTCAATCAAAATCAGAATACATTATGTGTAGTTGAAAACATTTGTACTGTGTGCTATTCAAAGAAGTTTTTTTTTCTCATCCTGTATATAAAGCACTTTCTGATGTCGTTCCGGTATGTACGAGTAGAGTGCGAGTTAACTGTAGTAGAATTTAATCTAATTGACGATAATAAATGATCAGTTTTTGTAGTTGAATAAATCTTTTTTTGATTTCCTTGGAAAATGTCAACTTTTTAAGTATTAATTAATAAAATTATTTTTCACGCCCAGTCTACAACAATAATGTGCGATCAACGAGAAACCAGGTCAAGCGGGTACCTGATGGTCAAATGTTTTTCTGGTCGTAACCACATTTGTACGCAGGTTGTCAAATTGAAATTTACCTAACTTGTTTGTGGTGTTTGATTAACAACATTTTGTATCAGACAGCAGACACAAATTTCGTAGTTATGCCGCAGGAATTAAGGTTTGTAGGTTGTTGAAGTTATGGTAACATCAGCATTCTGATTAGGAATAGTGGAATAATAAAAAATTCTCCATGCCATGTACAGAATAAAAATGCTCTGTTTACCATAATTCTTGTTATTAATTAAAAGTTAAAATAATGAAGTAACTACTTTTTCCTTTTATAAATTTCAATTTTATAGATTATTTGCAAATTTAACGTGCATGCAGATGTGCAAGTTAAACGTAGGTATAATATATACCTATGTTCAACAAAACAATCAGATATCGATTATCCACTTCATATCTTTTTTACTTTTAGCGTGTTATTATGGGTTTACAAAAGAATTATGATCTATCTACTACTCACTAGTTGCATACAAAATTTTTTTCGCGTTCGTAACAAAACTCAATATCCACCAACTTCAAAAACTTTTTATTTTGGAACACAGACATAAATATTAAATGTAGCCATATTTGCCGTCTTGACAATTTTTCGGGGGTGCACGCTGTCCGATTCCATTACCACAACACACCGAGAAAATTAATACAAACCACTTGTGTTGATGAATTATCATAGCAACGGCAGGCTCCTATGTTTTACCATGGCCGACTAGTATAAAGATTATGGCCTGTCCAAGAGGTACCATACGTGTTGCCATCTATTAATAATTACACTTAATAATTTAGCAAAATTTTAATTTGATTTGACATTATCAGACTTCAAAACGTGTAATGGTGGTTTGTTTCGGTATGAATGCCTTTGTGCTTTTCAAAAAGTGTTAATAATTCTTTTGTCGTTTTTGAATTATTAATAGATGGCAGCACGTATGGTACCTCTGGACAGGTCATAATCTTTATACTAGTCGGCCATGGTTTTACTTCCGTTAAAAAATGACACGCTACGACACTTTTTTTCACTCAAATGCGTGAAAAAATGACACGCTATGACACTTTTTTTCACGCTTCTAGTGCGATGAAATAAACGTATCCTTTATAAACAAAAATTAATAAAAAATGTTACACTTTTTTTAACGAACGTTAAAAAATAACTGATTATTAAATGGTATAGCATTGGGTAAAAATATGTTGATTAAACTTTCTTGGACAAATCTCATTTTCGCCTTTTCTAGCTCTTTAAGAGCAATTAAATAAGAATCTGACACAAAGTTTCCAGATAAAGTACCAACTAATAAATTTGCTATATATCTGCCACATACTCTGTTGTTTCGTCAACAACAAAATAAATAAAGTTATTTTGCTAATGTGTCTTAATTTTAGCAACAGTTATCTACAGGTGTTTTCCTGAGAGTGCTTTCGTTTGGAATATTCGAGGCAGGAATGGCCTGGACTAAATCGAACTTGAATATTTCCTCTTCATTTTTGGCTGTATTAGCAGATAAGGTTTCTCGTATCGATGTTTGAGTTACAGGTGTTGAGTTTTCTTTTTTCACAATTTCTTTTGTGAAGAGGCATTCTGCAGTGTTGGTCTATAAGATGTTTTTTTGTGCTCGAAATGTATAAAAAAACTGAAAACAAATAATTATTTATGTAAGAGACACCTATTATTGACACTGAATAACACGCAAAACATATTTTTTATTTGGTTCTCATAGACTTTAGTCTAAGGACTGAAAATCTATTTTAGAAAACTTACTGCTTTGCTGCAAGGTTTGCAAAAAGCACCATCGCCATCAAGAACCAAGTCTGAGTAGGGCCGAATCCACGATGTTAGTTTGGAAGATATTTTTTTAATTATTCGTAATATCACTGCTCTGTCGCCAAGTTCGTAGACGAATGATGAATGAATGTGGAAATCAAAAAATGAAATACTTACAAATCCATTCTAGGTTTTCCATCTCTTCCAACCCCTCGTTAAATACATTTGCAGAAATATCTATATTTACAACATCCGGTAAAGAATTCCAGGAAACCGCCTAAGTGGGGGTGTCCATAAATAAAGTCTTGGAAAAACCCGTCCTTTTTTAAAAATATATATTACAAAATAAACATAAAAAATGTACGGTATATAATTCAAAATTCTGTTTTTGGATTGGTTTTCACTTCGGATTTTTGATAGGTATCATGAAGAATTTATGCGCAAAGTGGCCTACACTGTTTTCAATGTGTTAGGGATAATCACTGCCTAATGTATTTGTATTTATTGTGTCAGTGTAATTTCGATCTGGATTATTTATTCGTCAGGTTGATGATAATGATTTTCAAATCAATTTCCATGTGGATGTACTTAATTGTTAAAAGAATGCTTCATTTCATGACTTATTAAACCTACATCAAAACTGCTAGCAGTTCAACACCAACCTTACGTCTTAATTGGTGCCCAAATCTCTATAGTAGCCGTTTATCATATTATTATCATCACATTTTATGAACGTGTGTTATAGCCATTGTAAAAATGCTATACATTTTATTAAAGATAAGTTATAAGTGAAACTAAAAGTGTATCTAATTAATTTTACTTAAGTGGTCGATGATTCTTAAGTTTATGTAGTATATGTATAAAAATTCGGTACTTTTTGTTAAAGATAATTAATACTGATAAGTGAAAGGTGTTATTAATTTTTCTTATTACACATGAGTGGCAACTCCTAAATTTATAGATATCTATGAAAATGTGTTAATAAAGGTTCGTAAGAATAAGCTGATTCATATTTTTAACACAATAACGCTTTTAAACAATTATGTAGGATAGTAGCCATTGACGTTTTCTACTGACATAAAACAATAATTGTAAATTTAAGTATGGATTGTCAAGCGTTCAGTAAGTGCTTGTTCGTAATTTGAAAAACATATTAATCTAGGAATTGTAAAATTCAAAAACTTATTTCTAATGGTGGCCTCAGCAATGTTTTGCAGGTACTTTGTGTAAACTGTACTATCGAAAAAAATGTACAGCAAAAAATCTATTGTAAATAAGAAAAAGAGTTTCATTTTAGCATTACATCAGCTAAAAACAACGGACCTTTAACTGATATTCGTTGCTGTACTTATTGTCAATTCATACTGCATCACACGATCAAATCAGGAATTTGCTTGTTTTCTGCTACGGAACCTTATTATTTTAGTGATTTTTTGATGTCAAACTCTAGAAACTTCTAACTTAAATTCCAACTCGATGTATAGAATTAAAAATGAAATTTATGACAACTTGATAGAGACATAATTATATTCATTTTTGAAATTCTCAAAAATGTGCTTACAGGTTTTTAAAATCTTTTGTAGGTTTAAATTAAATAATTTAATGTGCTGTGTTCTTCAGATAGTTTTTTAATTAATTAAAGAAACAAATACATTTAAAAATTGGAAAATTTTGGCTTCTTTTTTTATCTTTTTGCAATATTTTCATTGATAGAGACATAATTATATTCATTTTTGAAATTCTCAAAAATGTGCTTACAGGTTTTTAAAATCTTTTGTAGGTTTAAATTAAATAATTTAATGTGCTGTGTTCTTCAGATAGTTTTTTAATTAATTAAAGAAACAAATACATTTAAAAATTGGAAAATTTTGGCTTCTTTTTTTATCTTTTTGCAATATTTTCATTGATAGAGACATAATTATATTCATTTTTGAAATTCTCAAAAATGTGCTTACAGGTTTTTAAAATCTTTTGTAGGTTTAAATTAAATAATTTAATGTGCTGTGTTCTTCAGATAGTTTTTTAATTAATTAAAGAAACAAATACATTTAAAAATTGGAAAATTTTGGCTTCTTTTTTTATCTTTTTGCAATATTTTCATGTAAATGAAATAAAAAGGAGATACAGTAGTTTATGTTCAACGGCATCAATGACGTAGGTATTTCATTTGCAAATACACATTTAAGACTGACAATTCGAAATACTTTTTCGTAAAAATGAAATGTTTTCCTGTTATAAAACGGCTATCAACAGGTCAATAAAAGAATTTACCAATCGATAGTCTCCAGCATAGTGCGATTAGATAACATAATGACTTATATACTTACCTAAAAACTACTACATTTAAAATATATTGCTCGCAATAAACGGTCGGAGCGATTTGATTAATGGCTGCAAATTTTTTTAAAGGCTGGTTAAGGAAAATGGTTGAACAACCCTCGCCAAACAGGACCGACAAATCCAACGGTATTAAAATTTCTGTGGTAGATGTTTCAAAAAATGTGATTCCTCCAGAACCAGTGAAAGAGTCGGATAAGGATGCAAAGAAGACGACTACTGGTAAGTGCACTTAACTTTATCAAAGGTTTTTTTACACTCAATAAGTGTTTAAAACTATTTATTTAATTGTGATAAATTTAATTCACTTGTACTGAAATTAAAAAACTGAAGCAACATAAGAGTAAAAATTTCCGATTCTTATTGTCTTACGATAAGTGCACGGTGAACAATGTAAACTTCTCGTTTTAAAAATGTTGGAACTTTTTCAAATTAGGTCATTGTAGATAGATTTAGGTGTGTAGCACACGTGTGACACTTGAAATACATAACTATGCCATATTGAAAAAAAAAAAAAATTGCGGAACGCATCAGTGCATTACAGTAAAACAGCCAACATGCTTTGAAGCTCTTCTTGGATTAGTTTTCCATTTGTAGTGATATATTTACCTTTTAGTACGGTACTTGTAATAAAAATAACTATTACACTTTGCATTTACAACCGAAATTTGGGTAATAAAACTAATAAACGTGTGATAAACTAAGCTCAAGCTTAGTTTTATGAACATAAATCTTTAATTATAGGGACTCAACAAGAAAAATATTTTTGTTTGATTAGTGAAGGTGGTTCATAAAAAAATTAAGTGCTGTCAAAAAATTTACAGATTATAAAACTAACACAACAGGATTATTAAGACCCACCACTGACCCGGAAATGACCGGCATTCAGGCAAGACTTCTATCATTACGGGTACTAAGACCAAGTAATGATATGCATTGATTAGATTAACAGAACAACTTTCGAGATTCTAGAATTACAGCATACAAATTAGTCTGCTATTATTCTCTAATCTCACCCCATCCCCAAAAGTCCAGCGTAACTACCGACCATTTATCCGCGCATCACATGAAAAGTGACCTACACTACTCTGACCTACTGGTGCTAATCTAATCTGACTGACATGATCAGACTGTTCAAGAAACTTACGAACAATATGACATGTTCCTAACAAAACAGCTTTTTGAATTTTGACAATTATTGAATCATTCAAATGCAAAGACTTTAAATTCTCAACTAAGCTATTTGGAACTACACCTACATTAGAGATAACTAGGGGTAGAATTGAAATTTTTTTAAGATTCAACATGGATTTCATTTCTATCGATAATTGTAGATATTTTGAAATCTTGGTGTCGTATGTTTGAATAATGTTGTTTGTGTTAGGAATAGCAATGTCAATGAGAATGGCTTCGTTCGTGTGTTTTTTGATAAGTATGATGTCTGGTCTGTTAGCTGTAATGTTTAAGTCTGTAAGTATTGTGCGATCCCAGTATAATTTGTATTTGTTATTTTCAAGGAATGGAGACGGAATGTAAGTGTAATATGGTGTCGTATCTTCGATTAAGTTCATAAGTGTTGCTAATTCTTTGTGAATGATTTTGGCTGCGTTGTCGTGTCTAGCTTTGTAATCAGTTTGTGCTAGGATGCTGCAAGAAGAGATTATGTGCTGGATCGTTTCAGGTTTTGCTTTGCATAGGCGACAGCAGTCGTTTTTTATGTTCGGATCTTTGATGATGTATTTTCTATAATTCTTGGTATTGATTACTTGGTCTTGAATAGCAAACACAAATCCTTCTGTTTCGGCATACAAACTTGATTTTTTTAACCAAATCAATGACATCTTCTTATTGACATGATTTTCTTCTAAGTCTTTGTAGAATTTTCCATGCAGTTGTTTTTGTTTTAGCCCACTTATTATTTTATCTATTGTTTGGGGGGTGTGGATTTCTTCGGTGTTCGACAGATTTAAGGGTGTGTGGTTCAAATCTGCTCTTGTGATGGTGCGAAACATTTCATTTCTTTCCGCTCGTTTCAAGAAATACTTCTTCAAATCTGAGATTTGTCTCTGATATAAGTTTTCTAAGTTCTGGAAACCCCTTCCTCCATTCTGTCTTGGTAATGAGAATCTTTCAATCGACGATTTTGGGTGATGCCTTCTATACTGTGTGAAGATTTTCCTTGTTGCGATGTTTAAATTTTCAAGATCAGTTTTGGACCATTTAATGACTCCAAACGAATATGTTAGCAGTGGAACGCAGAATGTGTTTACTGCTTTCATTAAATTTTTTCCATTTAACTGTGTCTTCAATATTAATTTTAATCTCGCTACGTATTGATCTTTCAACTGTGTTTTCGTTTTGGTATATATATATATATATATTTATTATTATTATTTAGTGCGAAACCAAAATAAAAACTATTCGCCAAGAGACTAAAGCAAAATCATTAGGTTTATATTTTGATTGTGTTTTGAAATGGTCTACATATAATTCTGTTATAGTATTTAAATTAAATAGTTCTTGCTACGTGATATGAAACATAAGAGATTCTTGTGTCACTTGAGACACCAACTTTCTACTTGACATTATTATGTACTGTAATTTAGGATATGGAGTATTTTGATTTAGATGGCCGGAAGGGCTAACGCATTATTTATTGCATAAAAATGTATAGATACTAAGATGCTAAGGGCCAATGTGTCTTTTCTGTAAAGATTATCCTCAATAACTAGAAATTACATTACATTTGTTAAAAAAAAAGATATTAAAAAAAAACAAACGACATTGTTAGCATTTGGAGTATGTCACGCAAATGCATGTCTTTTTATGAAAAAGCCTCAAGCAGTAGAAACTTTCAATAGTCCTTTCACATTTTTTTATATTCTTTTTTTTTTTTAGTTGGTATTTGTATGTAAGATTTTGTCTTATATTATTTACTGACTTTTTTACTTATTTTAAAACCGACGTGATATCCTGTATAAGGATCTCGTAGTTCAGTAATGGTGTTTTATTAACCCCCGACTGAAAAAGATGAGTGCTATAATTAAAGAGCGGATTTTAGGCAAATAAGCAGGTAAAATAGGCCCGAAACTAGGCGATAAAAACGGAGGATTTAGCTCCGAAAATGGCAAAATAGACGCTTTAGGCAAGTTTTAGGAAAAATAAATTTGACGCAACGTCTGCTTTTCTTTGAGATCTACATTTACTTTATTATTTTACATAATCAGCGATCCTAATCTTCGTTAAAATTTATATAACAAATTAGATATTTTTGTAAATTTTCGACAACAAAATTTTTCCTTCCAAAATAAACTAAAATGTCATTTTATTTAAAATTACCCAATAAAATTATTATTTTTTATATCGGCAAAATGATGACAATAATATTTCAATCTATGAACCCTATCTTGCCAGAACAGGTTCTGGAGGCAATGGACAATCCGGTAAGGCTTCTCGGAAGGCGTGGATTTTTAAATGAGCTTTAAGAAATACTTTCTTTACTTGGACATTAAACACAGGCATAGCTTCGGGTTTTGTGTATTATGCATTCATATTTTTTAAGCAATTGTTTTTTCATAAAGGAAGGCTATGATTAGGGCACGTAACGCCGTTATAGATAATGTTTACTGGACAGCTTTTTTTATGAGAACCATTTTGGATCATATGGTAGAACCAAGTCAACAGAGTATGTTTTCGTAACATAATGTGTTCGAATCAAACACAGTGGCGGAGTATTGGTGATTAAAATATGATACTATAATGAATTCAGAAAAACAAGTTCTACAAGAATCTCTAAAAAATACAGATAATAATATTTTTACTTTCTGAGCTGAAACTACTGTATTAAAATGTCTCATCACAGTAATCTGGTGAAAAGAAACCGTGATAGCTACGGAGTCACGGTTCTGAGACCTAGGGAAGTTTTAATTTTTAGACCAATTTTTTAAATAGTAAGCGGATAACAATGTGTTAGCCTAGACGTTCTGTTTTGAATAATGTAGTACACTATAAGTTTTTTGACACCATTATTTTTTTAGAGACACATATGAAAAAAATGTTTAGGAACAAATAAATTTTGATAGGTATAGACTATAAAGTAACACCAAACATCAAGTTATTGATGGTTCATATCTTAATTTTATTGATATGCCTCGTGTAAATAATCCTAAAAATATTAAAAAACATCGAAACACAGTTAGATGCGAGTATATGAATGTCAAACTTTGTTAATAAACATTTATTTAATAACTTTTTGAAAAGATTTTACCAACGGTAATTTGAAGCAGTTTTTTAGGACAATCGGTACACGTTAAACTGATGGAAGTTAAATGAAATATAACCAAACATGTCATGGTTGCAGACTGCAGTTGGAATATACAGATATTACAAATTCAAGATAAACCGATAACATTGCTAATACCTATATGGAATCGTCAACAGTTTAACACGAAGATGAGAAACTTGCATTTTTGTGTATTAAGAATTGAAAAATGCCAAGCAACCATGAAGTTTGATATAAATGACTTTTTATCACATTTTAATATGAGTAATATACTGCATACTCAGTCCCTTGCTTTTTTTAAAAATGAAGAATTCGAGGATACTTGGTACAGAAAATTGTTTGAAGTATGCCATATGTTTTACAAGTACCTAATTCGTTACGATTACAAAAACATCTAGTTGATTGTGTTTGATGTATTTTGATGAATGTATGTAAATTAAAGATTTCATTCACGTCTCTGTCCATACTAGTTTGCGACATTACGATTTAAAGATACGAGTATATGCCTTAAATACATTAGGAGTTTAGGGTAAAAGAAAAAATGAAATGTTGTAAGCACAGTTATGTTAACTGAATATCACATATCACAGATAATTAATAATAATAACAAGAATAATACAGTGATGTAGTAGTATTGTTATCATCTACAATCAAATACAAAGTGTTTTATTCTGTTATCTATAATATGACTTAAAAAATCAAATACCACTTTAATTTCAGTACAAGTGTTCACAATTATACGAAATACAGGTTTTGAATGTTGTAAGATTTCATCACGATTTTTGTTAATAAACTGCTATTTCACGAACTATAGACTACATCAATAAAGTCAAAAAAAGTAAAAAGTTATAAATTACAATTTCATAACTTTACAGTAAAATGTGTGAATACGTTTTTTATTAATATAAGTTTCAAAATCTGACCAACAGGGAGTTAATGG